ATAAGGATATTGAATAGTTACAGATAAACGATTTGCGTGAGATAAGATAATCATGAAACTTTGACCAATGTACCTTGCAGCTCGTACTGTTTGTTGACCATAATTCATGAACCTCTCGTGCAAAAGACGATGAGGAGGGGCCAATTCAAAACCCTTTGGTAAAATAAGAATAGCTCCTACATTCAAATTCCCCTTTTTACCATTAGCAAGAACTTGTTTCACTTGCATATCATAAGGAATTCGCACAACTGCTTCAAATACAGTATCGGGAAGTACCGCTTGTGGAACCTCAATATCTACGGGCTTATTAGCTAAATGGCAAATAACACATACAATCCGGCCGGTAGCTTCTCGAGGATTTTCATAACCTTGTTGGGCAAGTATTTATTTCTAAGAAGTATCATTCCTTAATAGGGAATCTTTCAATTGACTAACCAATTCCAAATATAGAATAGAATAGTCTTCTTAGTATCTTTTGATTCTTACTAATATTCATTATTAGTAAGAATCAAAATAGAAAGAATAAGTAAATATATTCATATTAAATAATTCGATTATAGAATAAACTATTAGTTCTAAAAAAAATAGAGTTACTTTACTTCATTAATTGAATCTAAACTCAAAGTTTATGCGGATTGGTATTTTTTTTAGCGTGGTTTATTATTTTCATAATTCATATGAATTCTATTTTATCATACAAATCTCTTTTATTCTACCACCTTCCCGGAGTTCACTCTCCGGAGAAGTTTTATTAATGATATCGTTGGCAATCGTAAAAAGACAATTCCCCTTTAATATAGCTATTTGTGTGGTTGTAAGAGGTGTGAGTCCGCTTGTCAGACGGATTTCTTAAGTGTTCGAGTTTATTTATAGCATGAAACAATTCGAAGTATGGGTCTCGCTTATTGATTCGTTTCAAAAAACACCACACGAATACGTTTTTTACTGGCAAAAACTCGTGTTCAAAATAAAAAAGAAAAAAATTCTTAGTTTAGTTCGGTAGAACGCGGGTCTCCAAAACCCGATGTCGTAGTTTCAAATCCTACATAGCGTGATACCATTCTTCTGAGATGGAGAATGGGACTAAAATAATGGGATAATAGTCTATTCTAATAAAAAAAAGTGTTAATTGGATCTCCTCTCAATTAGGATTAAAAAAAAAATAGGAGCAGCTTCCGTGATTTACCCGAAGCTTTTGAGATGAGACATTCATAAACAACTCTACCAGAATTCTTAGCGGATAACCCCAATTGGGGTTGAATACTACAGTATATTGGATTATGTTCCATAATTTTATTTTAGAAACATGGGTAGAACCCAGAAGTGTGAACTGTACAAATTCACAATAACATTGATTGAATCAAGATTCAATGAAGGAAGGGGCTCCGGTGTATAGAGAGGACCTCACCGTTTAACAAGTAATCATAGAAACGATGGAGCCCACCATTTCTTTGTTTATTTTATTTACTATGGTTTTTGGCATACCTAGTATCAATAGAAGTTATTATTTAGAGTTTCAATACTTATACTTAGAAAAAATGAAAAAAAAATCGTGGTTGGGAAGGTTATAGTTGCAAAAGCCATTGGAATTTTTATTCATGCCCCTCTTTGTCTCTAAAGATAGGATGCCCTAACCAACCAACCGCTATTCCATCTCCATTGTCCATTGAGCCCGCTCTAAACAAACCCCATTTTGCCGGATTATTACCGATGTAATCATAAAAAGCTAATTTTTCAGGAATTTTAGACCAAGCTTCTGATAAACTTTGATTTTCGACTAGCCCATTACCAACTCTTCGTGTCTTTCGTTTATGGTTCGATATTCTGGTGTCCTAGGCGTAGAGGAACCACACCAATCCATCCTGAACTTGGTGGTTAAACTCTATTGCAGTGACGATACTGTAGGGGAGGTCCTGCGGAAAAATAGCTCGGCGCCAGAATGAAAAAAAGCTTAACACTTTTCATTCTTATTCTCTTTTGCTATTGAAAAAGATAATAAGAATGACAACGAGTTACATTTACGTATGATCGCTGCTAATATTGGTATGTTTGGGGCGATCAAAGAAAAAAATAACTAATTAGTGGTTCTACTATAATAGAGAGTATGGAGAGGCCATATTTTTGTTTTTCTTCGAAAAATAATCCAATTAATAAAAATATTCATGGTACCCATTCGTGCAGATGAATCATTTCCTTGTATCTGAGAAAGACTTTCAGATTCAAAGGAAGAAAGTTTAATTGGACTGAATCAGAATTTTTATTTTATGATTGATCAGTATAAACATCAACACCTTCGAATTGGATCAGTTTCTCCTGAACAAATAAGTGTTTGGGCAAAAAAAATCCTACCCAATGGACAAATAGTTGGGGAGGTAACAAAACCCTATACTCTTCGTTATAAAACCAATAAGCCTGAAAAAGGTGGATTATTTTGTGAAAGAATTTTTGGGCCTATAAAAAGTGGAATTTGTGCTTGTGGAAATTATCGAGTTTCTTTTGCTAGGCCCGTAGTTAAAAAACCAACTTTCTTACGATTACGAGGTTCATTCGAATATGAAATCCAACAGCAATCCAAGGGCGCATACCCAGACGAAAACTAAGTTTCCACTCACGACCCATGTAACAAGCTACACCAAGCCCTGTCAAATAAATATTTTTTTCCGATCATCTTTCGATTGTTAATACGATATATAAGGATCGCTAGTAGAAATAAGACAAAATTCTTGATCATGAAATATCTTGTTAAACCGCGTGAAACTAGGATACTCCAAATTCTGGAGTCTAAGAGTTTGATAAAACTCTGGACATTATGCACTTGTTACACAACAACCCCTTAAAGGAAAGGCCAAAGGGGGATGACAACGGGTAGGCGAAATGGAGGTTTGGGCTCTCGAAGGGTTCGGTGTTGCTCATATTTTACAAGAGATGCTAACTTATAAATCAGATCATATTAAAGGTCGTCAAGAAGTACTTGGAACTACAATTATTGGAGGAACAATACAGAAACCTGTAGATGCTACAGAATCGTTTCGATTGCTCGTTCGAGAACTACGATCTTTGGCTCTTGAACTGAATCATTTCCTTGTATCTGAGAAAGACTTTCAGATTTAAAAATAAAATAAAAAAGAGATGGAATAATGAATTCCACAAAAAAGTATTTTTTTTTCATAAAGATTTGAAAAAATGTTTGAAAAAATGGGATAATGAAGCAAAAGAAGAGTCTCGAATCCTGTTAAAAGAATTCAACGAAATAGAAATTGGAAAAAATTCACCAATCAGTACGAGTAATCCAACTATTATCCCATCCACAACCACAAAATATTGAGTCTCATTTTCTATGTATAAGAATGAAATAAAATTATAAACAGAAGAGGACATTTAACCCAAGATTAGATAATTTGTCATCTTGTTTTGAAGCGGTCTCAAAAGACCAACCTTCCAATTTTTTTAGTATGTTTGAAGCTATCAAATTTGTTATAGTTTTCAAAAAAGTTAATATTCAAAACATCAAGACTTTGCCTTTAATCTCTATTGCTGAAAAAGACTGTTGGTTGAAAATCATGGTCAATTCATTTTCATGTTCAAATTTGGTGGGGTCTAATACAGATGAGTTGCACATCAAATTCAACCATCTTAATATTGATTCAAGCAAATGAACAGATTCTCGGTTCAAATTTTCCACTCAAATTAATATATGAAATATGTAGCAGTAACTTCTTTGTTTGTTCCCGTGTTATCATCATGTAATCAAACACAGGAAAGATCAGAGTAATTAATGTGTAAAATGGAAAAAATAACTTTTTGATTCACCAGCAATGTCTGTATTAAACAATGAAGAAAATGATCAATTTATTTATGATAGAACAGACATAAGATAGAATATAATGGAGAAAATTATTTTATTAATGAATACGAAAACAAAAATAATTTCAGAGCTACTGCTCTTTAGTCAGAGAAAATAATTTTCTCACGGTCAATCCTAATATGAAATAACAGAAAAATATAACCTCCCTAACTACTGCTCCATACACTTCTATTTATAGGAGTAATACTACCTACTCTAACTCCTATTTATTTGAAAAATACTAATTAACTGAATCCACTTCTATTTATTTAGAGTACTAATTTATTGACTGAGTCCACTCTTATTTATTTGAGAAGCACTAATTTACTAGGTCAATTATCCAATTACTTCTCTTTCTTATTCTTTCTCATATATACCCTCCACTGTTTAGGTCCAACATTATCTCTGTTAACTAACATATCCTCATCATCATTTGTAGGATCCGATCCATTCCTATCATCACTTTCCTTCATGAAACTTTATACCTTTAGTCTGATTTTTTTGGATTTCGCCTCGCCTTGGCCCTCAACATTAACAATTATTGCAGTAGAAGATGGTTCATTCTTCTTGACTGGTATGCAGCCGCCTCGTTTCCCCGTTGAAAATTGAAAATTTGAAATCCAAATGAGTTTGGAAGTGTAAGAGCTGTCAAATGTGTTGCCTAATGTTCATAAATGATCTATACAATAATGACATTATTAGTGTTGGTCAGTGGTGGCTATATAATTGAGTAGGAAATGTTCCTGCCACACTCAAATTCAGGGCCTACATGCATTTTGTTTGGTGTGAAATATGTATATGCTTGTTTATAAGATCGAATAAGTTTCGATCATCTGCAGTCGGCGGACTACAGTCATTTAGACCTAAACTAAACGATGATACATCCAGAAGGGATGTTTTTGGTTAAAAGCAACATCCACAGCAATATATCTTACAGAAATTCAGAATCAGTCAAAGATTACAAGGAAAAAACTAGACAACGACAGAAAATAGAAACATCTCGGAGAATGGAAATAAATATTGACAGAAAAATTTGCTCATATGGAGGGTAGATTGAATGACTGAAAACAATAATTCCTTTTCCAATAATCGATTACCAGAAAGACAACGGAAACTCTACAATAAAGAAGAGTAAACGAGAAGCAAAGCAGTCTTGTCATTTTTGCTTTAATGAGCCTTTTTTAGATTTGTTTAACTGCCACGGCGGTAGGCAACCTTTATAGTGAGAATGCAGAAACAACGAGCACATTGGTACTTCCATTTGTGGCATAGAGATCGATGACAAGCAACTGAAGGCCGTTCGAAGTCTCTTTTTTTCACTATCAGTCTCTTGACAGTTGGAATCATGCTGAACAGTAGAAGTTTTAAGTGCTTCAGGAAGTATGCAATTGCAAAAGGAACCTAGAACGAAAACAACAATCATAAGTCAATAAGTGAATTCATAATATGTATCTTGAGTTTGTAAACATTTCATATATATACCTATTCTTGCGAGACGATTGACCCATTTCGGTATAGAATTCCCTGTTAGCTTGTAACTAATATCTTCACAGAAATGATTGCAGTTTTTCACAATCAAGTGATAACTATCACCATTGTATTTTGCAGACATGTTCTCCATGAACTCTCGAATCTGGAATGGATCTAAGCTAGTAGTTCCCACGAAAATCGACTTTCGAAACTTAAATCCAGGACACTGCCTAGGTTCAACCTCAAACACACCACTTGTTGGGTAGTCATGAGCTCCAAATGCATATTCCACTCCATAAACTGTAAGAACATAACAACTTCATCTTAGAAAATACTGAGAGTCGAAAATAATAATTTTTCGCCATTAAGTCACAGATATAAGTAATACACACATGCATATAAGCACTTAATTGCAAAGTGAACTGACCTTCAAGTCCGGTGTGGAAAATACCAACTCCTGCCCAATACATATAGCCATTAACAGTGGTCAAATCATAGACATTGAGATAAACAGGAGTATTCCCAGGTTTGTTTCCAGCTGATTTCAGTTTAGAGAATATGCAAAAGGGTGTCACTGATTTGTGTTTGAGACGAAACCGAACGATCGAAGGCCATCCATTTTTAAATCCTGATTTCATTTTATGAATGAGTCCAGTAGTAACCACTCAATATCAATCTATTTCCTCCCTGCAGATAGATACATTGAAAAATAAATTTAATTATTTGCATAAATAATAATAGCCAAAACTATGGAATCACTTCAACCCTAATATTCATTACCAAATTCCACAGAAAAATGCTCAATTTTTTCTCATTCAAAAAAACCCAAATCTAATACTGTAAGCAACATGAGAAGTTCAACCTCAAAGCTAAAAATGAAAATAAAATCTATTAATATTTCAAGATCTAACTCATATCTAAGCTCAATTTCTGTGACATAAAACTACTGGTAGAAAAAATTAGCAAAATCTAAAGGGAAGAACAAAACAACATCAAAGATAATAATAGATCAGATTAGAAAAATACATAAAACAAGAACAAAAATCAACTCAAAATTGAATAAAAAGATAAAACAAACCTATAAAGATTGAAGTGAAAAACTCATTCATTGATGTTTATTTTTTCAAACAAGAGAATGAAACAATGCGTGTGTCTGAAACTCACACATTGTTTGGTTAATATCTTCTTCTTCTAACAAAACAAGTGAAAGCTGGTTGTGTTGTGTAGTTATAGTTAAGAGACCAGACATAAACAACTGTGTCTTTTTTATGTTTAATGAGGAAAATTAATCATATATTTACTAAGTAATAAATATATTTTATTTTGGGAAAATGAGAAAATTTGAAAGTGAAAAAAATAAATATAATAATGGATAAGTGAAAAAAAGTGTGAAAGAAATTCTGTCTGGACTTGACACTTTGACATTGACTGTCATCATTGCATTTTGCGTTGAATCATGATTTTATTTATTCTACTCTCTCTCTTTATTGATTTATGCTTCTTTTTCTTTTTTTAAATAGGGTGTGTGTTTGTTCTTTATTAGAAAATAAAATAAAATAGTACTACTATTATTTTATACTGTTTTCAAATTATTTTATTTTGATTCTATCTTCAAGTTAATAGTATTTGTTTTTATTTTCAACAGAAATTTCTTATTTTATTTTTCTTTTTAGTTCATTAATAAAATATTGTCATTATTAATACGAGCTGGTTAAGCAGCTTTTGGTCTCTCAGGTGAGAAATTATTGCAGCTTTATGAAGCATGATGTTTATTTTATGGCTTTTCTAACTAACTTGCCAAATGTCCTCTGATTAGTTTAGCGATTTTAAAAAATGTATATTCAATTTGTAATTGAGTACTGTATATTTGGTTCTTCTTTTGGCTTAAAAAAAAAGAATACTGTATTAAAAAGTACACTTTTTAAAATCAATTTCATTGTAATATTTAATATTTAGTTTTAACCATGTCTTAAAAAAAACATTTTGTTTAAGAGTTTGGAGGAAAAAAAAGAATAATTGAATGATAATAATAAAAGAATTTTGTTTGGAAAGATTTTGAAATATTTATTTTTATTTAAAAATTAAAATTATTTTAATTTGAATAATTAAAAATATCGTATTGGAGAATAGAGAGTTTAAATATAATTTATATTGTTATAATATTTTAAAAATTAAAAATAGGTTAATAATAAATATTCTTATATCATTTTATACAAAAAAAATTTAAAAAGAAAGTTAATGATTTCTCTATTTTTTTTAATAAAAAATTTATTTTTTGAAATTCTTCTCTCCCCTCCAAACTCCCCAAAATTTTTAATGTTCGTGTTTGATTTCAATCGAATTAAAAAAAAATTATTATATATAAATTCTTTTGCTTCAACATATTTTTTATTGAATCTATCCATGCCAAAAATTTAGATTATTAAATTAATTTATATGAATTTTGTTAAAAGAAATTTGTGTAATGCAATATTTCCAATGAGACCAAAAAATTTTTTGTAATGCACAAAACTCCTAAAACAACTCAATATTGGATGTTTGTACTTGAAAACTTATATATAAAAACTAATATTGTGCATCTTTTATATATATATATATATATATATATATATATATATATATATATATATATATATATATATATATATATATATATATATATATATATATATATATATATATATATATATATATATATATATATATATATATATATATATATATATATATATATATATATATATATATATATATATATATATATATATATATATTAGTTTTTTTTTTACAATTGCTAAATATATAATATCTTTTTTATTATTATTATTATTATTATTATTATTATTATTATTATTATTATTATTATTATTATTATTATTATTATTATTCAATTCAATCCAATTAATACACTATGCCAATATAGTAATAATATATTAATAAATAGTAATAACTACCAAAATGACAAAATAAAAAACTAATAAGAAAAAATAACAATTAACAAACTATCAATGCAAATCAGAAAAATTGCTGAAACAATTATAAATCAATCTCGAAGAATTCAGAATCGATCTCGTAATGCCAGAATTACTATTAACAAATTGAAATCCAAAAAAAAAAAAAAAATTATAAAAGACTACGTCATTCAGAACAAAGACAAACACTCGATAGATTTGTTAAATCAATCAAAGAAAAAATAATTAATTTTTAAAACAATTTTAAGACAAAAGAAGTACTTTTGCACTACTACAAAATGTATATACAACAACGTCAAGGTTATCACGTGCTGCGAAGGTTATCATGGTGCTACGAAGGACCGTGGTGACATATATTACTTAACGAGTAAACATTTTCTTTTATTTACTTATTAAATTTTTGATATGATATGCTCACGGTTGAAAAATACGACTGTGGTTATATAATCACATTTTCATGTGTTTGAATCTCAACACCATTAAATATTTTATTTCCTTAACATTTAGTCGTGCATTTGTATTTTTATTTAATTTTAAATTAAAAATAAATGTGATATCACCATGATTATTTAAACAACTGTTGTGACATATTTATCATTTTGGTTTAAGTTTTTTAAATTGTAATATATTGGCGCTTCTTTATGACATTTAATTAAGCAAATTATATATCACCACGGTTGTGTAGTTGAACTATTGTGACATATTTTTTATTTTGTTTTAAATATTTTAAATTATAATATATTATCGCTTCTTTATGAGATTTAATTAAGAAAATAATATATCACCACAACTGCGTAGCTGAATTGCTGTGACATATTTTTCATTTTCTTTTAAATATTTTAAATTTTAATATATTAACGCTTCTTTATGAATCTTAATTAAGCAAATAATATATCACCATGGTTCCGGTTGTTGATCGTGGTGGTATCATTAATTCATTTTTATCACAACTAACTAACTTGTCTCTTCAGTAGACATTCTTTGCACTGAATAACGATACGATACAAAACACCATTTCAACCCTAATGCTCAGTACTGAGAAACGAAACATCATATCAAGCCTAACATTTATCGTTCATCATTTTTCATTATTTGTTCATTGGTTCATCATTTTTCATTTGTTCATCGTTTTTCATTTTCAACTCGTAGTCATCGCAAGGAGGAAGACAACACACCAACGCAAACACTAACACCACCGTCATCGTCAAGGAGTAATATAACAACAACACTATATGTTTCAACCCAAATATTCACGTTTACTTAGTCATCACGTTTACAGTACGTAATTTTTTTTCACATGCATCAATAGTAAACTTCAGTTTCCATTATTGTTCATGTTGTTGTTTATGTTGTTTTTGTGGTTATTGTTGAAAGTGTGTGTGATAATATTTGATTAATCTTTTATTGATGTTGTTATTGTTGAATGCGTATGATAACATACTTTTATTCATGGTTATACATGGAAATAACAGATGAAAGAGTTTGTTGTTCTTGTTGTTGTTGAGGTTGAGGTTGTTGTTGTTTTTGAACATAGCTATCGTCTTCGTCGTATTCTTCATCTAGTGGCGAAAAATCTATGACAAGTGAAACTTGTACAAATGATACTCAAGACATAAATAAAAGATCACAAAGAGGTGTCACAATGCTTACCATTGTTGTTGATGTTGTTGTTCATATTGTTTTTGTGGTTGATGTTGAATGTGTGTGATAACACTTGATTAATCTTTTGTTGTGGTTGTAGTTGTTGTTGTTATTGAATGTGTATGTGATAACATTTGATTAATCTTTTGTTGATGTTGTTGTTGTTGTTGAATTCTTATGATAACATATTTCTATTCATGGTTATATGTGGAAATAATAGATGAAAGAGTTTGTAGTAGTAGTTGTTGTTGTTAAGGTTGTTATTTTTTAACATAGATGTCGTCTTCGTCGCATTCTTCATCTAGTTCTGAAGAAACTATGACAAGTGAAACTCGTACAAATGATACTCAAGACGAAAATAAAAGATCATAAAGAGGTGCCACAATGCTTACAAAATTAACAAAAGTCCATAAATATGGTAACAAATTACCCATCATGTTTGATGCGTACTACAGAGTAGTTAATGGTGAATACTCTTTGCTTTTTAAGAGTTATGTTACGTTCCTTGGACGTAGCAAAGTCAGTATATTGATAGATAATTGGAAACAAGCGCCAAAGACTATCAAAAATAGCATATGAACATACGTTCAGGTATTATTTTTAATTTTCATCTATTCAATATGACTTTCTATAATTTTTAATACATTCTTATTGATTTAAATGTAGTTGACCTTTGAGTTTACGGATGATGATAAGTTTAAAAAAAGGTGGGTAGTCATGCTAGTACGTGTTGGATGAGCTTTAAGTCACGACTCACACGTGACTATATTAGGGAGCCTAAGCCTGGTCTTGAGCATCCATAAGTGATATATAGCTATCTTTTGAAGAAGGTTTGGAAAAAAAATTGTGAAGGACCGTCGTTCTGAGAAATTCATGGTTAGTACTAGTCTTATTTATCTTGATAATTTTATGCTAATGATTTATAGATACTAATCATATTTTCACTATGTTTATAACAGGCCAAAAGTCAAGTAGGAATATAAAATAAATAAATAAACATTTACCCCATAGATTGTCTCGTGGTG